TTGACATATCTTGACATATCTTGACATATCTTGACATATCTTAACATATCTTGACATATCTTGACATATCTTGACATATCTTGACATATCTTGACATATCTTAACATATCTTAACATATCTTGACATATCTTGACATATCTTAACATATCTTGACATATCTTGACATATCTTGACATATCTTGACATATCTTGACATATCTTGACATATCTTGACATATCTTGACATATCTTGACATATCGTGACATATCTTGACATCTCTTGACATATCTTACACATATCTTGACATATCTTGAACATATCTTGACATATCTTGACTATCTTGACCATCTCTTTGACAGAATCTGTGACATATCTTGACATTATGCTTGCACCATATCTTGGACATATCAATCCTTGACATATCTTGACATATCTTTACATATCTTCTTGACATATCTTGACATATCTTGACATGATCTTGACATATCTTTCTTGACATATCTTAACATATCTTAACATATCTTGACATACTCTTACATATCTTGACAGTCTCGACATATCTTTAACATATCTAACATCTCTTACAGATCCTTGACATATCTTGACATATCTTGACATATCTTAACATATCTTGACATATCTTGACATATCTTGACATATCTTGACATATCTTGACATATCGTGACATATCTTGACATATCTTAACATATCTTGACATATCTTGACATATCTTAACATATCTTAACATATCTTGACATATCTTGACATATCTTGACATATCTTGACATATCTTAACATATCTTGACATATCTTGACATATCTTAACATATCTTGACATATCTTGACATATCTTGACATATCTTAACATATCTTAACATATCTTGACATATCTTGACATATCTTAACATATCTTAACATATCTTGACATATCTTAACATATCTTAACATATCTTGACATATCTTGACATATCTTGACATATCTTGACATATCTTGACATATCTTGACATATCTTAACATATCTTAACATATCTTGACATATCTTGACATATCTTGACATATCTTGACATATCTTAACATATCTTAACATATCTTGACATATCTTGACATATCTTGACATATCTTGACATATCTTAACATATCTTGACATATCTTGACATATCTTGACATATCTTGACATATCTTGACATATCTTGACATATCTTGACATATCTTAACATATCTTGACATAACTTGAACTATCTTGACATATCTTTGACATATCTTGACATATCTTTACATATCTTGACATATCTTGACATATCTGACATATCTTGACATATCTTGACACTATCTTGATGACATATCTTGACATATCTTTGACAGATCTTCACAGATCTTGACATATCTTAACATATCTTAACATCTCTTGACATATCTTGACATATCTTTACATATCTTTACATATCTTACTATATCTTAACATCTTACATATCTTGACATATCTTAACATAGCTTAAGATATCTTGACATATCGGTGCATATATCTTGACATATCTTGACATATCTTAACATATCTTGACATATCTTGACATATCTTGACATATCTTGACATATCTTAACATATCTTGACATATCTTGACATATCTTGACATATCTTGACATATCTTAACATATCTTGACATATCTTGACATATCTTAACATATCTTAACATATCTTGACATATCTTGACATATCTTGACATATCTTAACATATCTTAACATATCTTGACATATCTTGACATATCTTAACATATCTTAACATATCTTGACATATCTTAACATATCTTAACATATCTTGACATATCTTGACATATCTTGACATATCTTGACATATCTTAACATATCTTGACATATCTTGACATATCTTAACATATCTTGACATATCTTGACATATCTTGACATATCTTGACATATCTTGACATATCTTGACATATCTTGACATATCTTGACATATCTTGACATATCTTGACATATCTTGACATATCTTAACATATCTTGACATATCTTGACATATCTTGACATATCTTAACATATCTTAACATATCTTGACATATCTTGACATATCTTGACATATCTTAACATATCTTAACATATCTTGACATATCTTGACATATCTTGACATATCTTGACATATCTTAACATATCTTAACATATCTTGACATATCTTGACATATCTTGACATATCTTGACATATCTTGACATATCTTGACATATCTTGACATATCTTGACATATCTTGACATATCTTGACATATCTTAACATATCTTGACATATCTTGACATATCTTGACATATCTTGACATATCTTGACATATCTTGACATATCTTAACATATCTTGACATATCTTGACATATCTTGACATATCTTGACATATCTTGACATATCTTGACATATCTTAACATATCTTGACATATCTTAACATATCTTGACATATCTTGACATATCTTGACATATCTTAACATATCTTGACATATCTTGACATATCTTGACATATCTTGACATATCTTGACATATCTTGACATATCTTGACATATCTTGACATATCTTAACATATCTTGACATATCTTGACATATCTTGACATATCTAACATATCTTGACATATCTCGACATATCTCGACATATCTTAACATATCTTAACATATCTCGACATATCTCGACATATCTCGACATATCTCGACATATCTCGACATATCTTGACATATCTTGACATATCTTGACATATCTTGACATATCTTGACATATCTTGACATATCTTGACATATCTTGACATATCTTGACATATCTTGACATATCTTAACATATCTTGACATATCTTGACATATCTTGACATATCTTGACATATCTTGACATATCTTGATGCATCTTGAATCTCTCTGCACTCTCTGCACTCTCTGCAGATTCGATTTGAGATCAAAGCAACTCTGCCTCTTGTGATTCTCGTGCGATGAGTTGCGCCCGAAATTCTCGCCATGCCTGACACACTCTGTCAGACTCTGTCACAGTCCGTCTTTGAGAGCTGAGAGTCTCTGACACTCGTCTGCCAAGACCACACCGAAATGCCATCCGACCAACCACTTGGACCACTTGGAATATTTGGACCAAGGCTTTTTGCAACGCTTTTTGCAACGCTTTTTGTTCGGTTGATTTCGGTTGTCTCTTTGGTTTGGCCTCGGGAGATGGGCCAGACTTCACTTCCTGCGAACGTCCGAAACACGCTCGAAACAGGCTCGAACGAAGAGATTCATTGAGAGATTCATTGAGAGATTCATGAAAGATCATGAAAGTTTGGATTTCTTCAATATCTTCGAAGTTTCTTCGAAGTTTCTTCAAGCTGCTTGTCTGAAAAGAATGATCTCTTGCAGGGCCTCAGCCCGCAATGCCGTGCGACCGTAGCCGTGGCCAAATTGGCGCGGCAGCAGCAGTGGCCTTTGAAGCCTGGCAGGGCCAGAAGCGCTTTGCCACACTTTGAACAAGACTTGAACAACTAGCAACTGGCATCAACTGGCATCAACTGGCATCAACTGGCATCAACTGGCATCAACTGGCATCAACTGGCATCAACTGGCGGCAACTGGCATAGCTAGTATAAGTAGTAGTGCTATGTTGAGTTTGAAGTTTCTTTTTTCTATATACCTTTTCTTGCACTTGTGAAATTTTCTAAGTCTTTGCAATTTGGGAAGTGTAAATTTAATGTGTACTTGATGCAGACACTTCATGGAACATAAGACTCACCGGACTGGAACAAATGCTCTCCTCACCATGCAATTTGCATTGTCAAAATTAAGAAACGGCAATGCATTGGCAACTCCTTCGTAGTTTCGATCGTACACTCAGCTGGTCTTTTGGTATACTTCATTCGTCTGGGCCTAGCCTTGGGAGCGTGAGGAACAGGATTACGAGACCTGCCATCTTAGCATGTAACCAACATAAAGAGAAGCTGTTGTCTCATTTCTGTAAGTTCTGAATCATGATTTCAGCTTTCCATTTGTCCTTTTGCAACAAAGAACTGTCATTGCCAAATGTCAATAGACCAATGGATACAGTGTCCAGCGTTGAAACAGTTGGCCATTGACAAAAGAGTACAGAGGTCAACCAAGCCAGTCCGACAGCATAAGTTGCCAGCTCGAGACATGCGTCAAACACATGCCGCCCACATGGACAGTGCGGGCTTTGCCTTTCAAGAGCTAAGGTAGTTGGACTTGAACAGTTTCCACTTTCTCCTCTAAACATCTCTCAATCTTGTTCTACATGCCATGCCGAACTATGCCGAACTAAAAATATTGTCAATCCTGAACCCTTCTAGAAAATGCAGCGCCATCCTGAAGTTTAGACAACCAAGTTTTCTCGTTTGATTGAATTGTCCTGCAGTTTTGGACAGATGTACCTTTAGGAGCCTGAAAGCCCGCAGGTTCTGAGTTTGAAGCTTTGCATAGCTTTGCCAGGCTTTGCCACATGCACAGCAGCTATTACATTCTACCGCATGCTACGTATTACTAACTTACTATGCATGATGTGTCTATCTATGTACACATTACACATTCCTATGATCTATAGCAACCCCAAGAAAAATAGAAAAGTGTTCCAGAATATTCTAGATAATACTCATAATGTTCACAGTCTAACTTTTCAAATAATGTGGAGTTGCGTTACATTGGTCTACATTGATTTCTTCCATGCTCTCCTTGAGCAGCGACAGAAGCGACAGGGACGAGGACTTTCTCTTTTCAGCTGGCGGGCATCACGCCGAGCTACGGGCAACAGATTCCTGTGCCATTCAACGGGATCAACACACCAATGCAGGGCGTGTTGACTCGTTGACTTGTTGATTCATTGACTCGTTGATCTCACAGCCTCGCACTCTGAAACTGTGATCTCTGAAGATCTCTAAAGAGCTGAATCTGGAAAATAGTCGAAATATGCGTCATCGTGGCCGGAAGCCGCCACAGGCCACAGGCCATGGAGGATTACGAACCGTTCTGAGCTCAGCATCTCTCTGTTATTTGAAGCGGCATCATATCTACGAAAAATGTAGAAAATACAATGGAAAATGCTGCAAAAAGTATCAAAAAGTGATCTCTATATTATTGACTTCTCTATGACTCGATTATGACAATATGGCAGACTAATGCAGACTATAGTGCTGATTAGTGCTGATTAGTGCTGACTTTGGTCCGGTGTGTCCCGCTGTGGCACAAGGCTCCAGGCGTTGGCGTTCACTCCTCGGCGTCTTCATAGGCCTTGATTTTATCTGCCTGTGCACCTCGCTTGCAATTCCTGGGAGAAACCAGAGGCACGGGGAGTTTTGTTTTCGTCACAGTTGGAACTTCTTTGGAACATTTTCGAATTGCTCAGAAAACTGCAAAGCCCCAGATAGACCAACTCGAATACTTCTTTAAGGTTCATTCTGCAGCATTTCGCCAAGTTTCAGATCGTAAACGACTTTGCAATCCTGGAGAATGTGGGAACACGTGGCTACTCTTGAGGCATTGTGATCCACAGACAGAGACTTGGAATGGGAGAGCCTTTGAGGCACGACCACTGAGGGCAAAGACTTCTGGAGAGGTGGACTTCACGATGCAAAACAACACATCGAGACACCCAACACACTTCTAATTGTCAATTCATTACACAAAAAGATACAAAAAGACATTTAGAAAAGGATTCTTGAAAAGAAGACACATCAAAAAGGACAGCTTTGTGATGCCTTGCGGCTTTCTCTCCGGCTCCTTCAGCCGAATGTTGTCGACAACTGCACACATCCAGCGATGTCTGGAATCACTCCAGTACTGTACCTGTCTTTGTCATGAGAACCGTGCAGAGATTTCTGTTTCCGCAAAGTCATCTCTTGTGCTTTTGTTTGAAAGTTATGCTAAGCTGCTGTGTTTATCCTTCAGGCCATTGTGCTTAAGGTTAACCAGGTTGTGTTCCAAAGCACATTGATACGATATGTGCCAAAGCAAACACACATGTGATGAAGCCACCTTGCACATTCCTAGTTGGAAAAGACATGCGGCAAAGCTGAATCTCACTACATATTTACGTGTTCATATACTATGGCTTGAATATAGTTATATCATATAACTATAACTATAATCGTATGTACGCATAATATAATATATACACATGTCCTGTTGTCTCAGACTTTCTGCCTGATCGCTGATCTGGAATTCAGCAGCTGCTAGGATGGCCTTGCGATGAAAACACATCCTAAAGGTCTGGCATCGCATGGCATGGCATTGGAGAAAGGCCTTTTTAAAACTTGGATGAACTTGGAGCTTCCTGTGCTTCCTGTGCTTCCTGTTTTGCGTGTTTTGTGACTCGTTGAGACTCTGAGCTTCAGACCCTCTCTTCAGGAGTGTACTGGACGCCTTTCACATGCAAAACTTGAAGCAGTCCAGTCCCTCAAAATTCACACAGCAAAGTTGTGATCAAGGTTTGGCAATGCCGAAATATCGTGCTGAAATGTTCAAAGAAAGCAACCCTGCAAAGTGCAGCACACCTGCTCTCGCCTCACAGTCAAAGCGTCAAGGTGTCGACATCAGGTCTGCTTTTGGGGTGTTTGATGTGTTTGAACTTTGAACGATCAGAAATCGTCGAGTAACTTGTGGTAACAAGCGTGGTAACTTGCGGTAACAAGCGTGGTAACTTGTGAACAAGCGTCATCCCCGTATCCACTTCGACCTCAGGGACAATTGTGCCAGAGACAGAAGACATGCTTAGACATGCTTGGACTGCGTAGACTCGGCGTAGACTGCGTAGACATGGTTTGCAGCTTCAGGTGTCAATTTTTTTCGCAAGTGAGAATCACACTTCGCCCATCCATGTCCGTGGGCATGGCAGTCATGCTGTGCATCATGTCATCCTGCCAGATTCTGCCAGATCCCGAGAGCTTGATCAAGACTTCGACATTTGAACGCTGGAAAGGCGGAAAGGCGGAAAGGCGAAACCCACAGAGACATCACAAATCCGGCAGGTTGATGGGTTGACGATGGTTGACGTGCCTCAAAAGGTTCCTCTTCTTCATCTTCATCATACTGGCGACCAGCACAGTTCGAATGCGCCGTATTCCCTCTATCTATATCTGCTATGTCCATCTAAGTTCTAGGAAACAAATCAAGCAGTTCACTGTTGCAGGCTTCAAATGTTGCCTATGCTCTTCATGTCATGCTAATGACTGCTGTTGTCGCAGGTCAGTGTCCTCGACATCATCATGAAGATCGTGGAACTCCTGACAGAATGTCTGCAAGGATCTGCAAAACCAAACTGATACCCATGGTGGCCCATGGCTCACCTCTTGATGAAGCAGAGATTCCCATAATGATCTATATATGATCTATATATATTATATATATATATATATATGAACCCCACAATCCCGGGAAAGTTTCCCCTTCCAGCTCAAAGTTGGAAGTTTTGTGGGCACAAGCTGAAATTTCCAACTTGGAAGGTGTGTTCCCGTCACCTGAAGCTTCTGTTTGATCGTCATCTCACCAGGCAGTATCTCCTCTCGAATCGATCCGCTAGGCCGCTAGGCCCGCCCAATGCTGGATTTCGGTGTGACGTCAAAGATACGGAAGCACTAGTTGACTAATGTTGACTAATGTTGACTACACTAAACACCTATTCTTTTGTCCAAATAGTCAGAAACAATCCATGTCTTTTTAACTGTGCATATTAAATATTAACAACTAGGATCCTTTTCAGAGATAGTGAGAGGTGAGGACAATACCTAGCCCTAGCACATCACATGCCACTGCTGGTGGAATCGTCCAATCATCGTCATCATCACGGCCACCACAACCACCAGCCGCAAGCCGCATTGCCCTTTCCGCCTGAAAAGGCTCCCAACAGGCCGGACAACGCTTACACTCCGTTATGTCGGGCGTGCGTCCTGGGCTGAGCCAGGAAGGTTTAAGAAAATTTAAGCTCTGACGTAAAGTCTTTCATACCAAGGAAAGATTGCTTCAAGGATCTTTAAGGCCATCTAGGCATGTTCAGGCTTTTATCATCGAAGGTATGACTCATCTTGAAGTCAACACATGTGGCTACCTCCATCTGGCATGTTGCCAATATGTCAATTTGTAATCATATGCATATAATATGCGTGCTGAAAGCAGATCCTGAAGCAGACATGACAATGTTTCAGAGAGCAAGCTCCAGGATTGTGGGGCAAAGGGGATCGATCCATTGTCGACATGACCCGCTTGGACTTGCTAGCCAAGAACAATGTCGCACGTAACGCTAAGTAACCATGGGCGACCATAGGCGACCATAGGCCCTTTTCGATTCCACAGAAAGCGAAGGGATGTGTGGGGCAACAATGCCAGGCTTGCCGAGTCTAACATCTTTCTGCGTCCGAATTCAAAAAGTTTTTGTCTTTGCTAGAGCTGAACTCGGCTTTGCTAGAGCTGAAAGACTGAAAGCTTGCAGAGTACGCATCCTTTCTCCAACTAGTCTTACAGTATCTTACAGTCTTGAGGCATCCAGCTGAGGAAGAAGACACTGGGCAAAACAAGTTGGGCTATCATTGCCACGTTGCGAGAAGAATTGCAGCTAGGGCAAGCTTTTCCTCAGCAAAACAACCCTTGTGACATCTTTCTGCTGTGCTGGAACAGTGCTTAGGAGCTCTGAGAGGACTCGCAATGACTTCTTTTCAGGTCCTAGTGTAGTGCTGATGCTGCTGACTTTCATGTTTCTGTTCCAATCAACTTCGCTGTATGGTGCATCATGAATCAGGAAAGATATGTTCAGCGATTCAGATCGAGTGCACTGAGAACACTGAGAACAGAACGCATGAGAATGTTGTCCAAGAGCCCATCATCTTCAAGGCCTTGTAAATCTGTGGCATTGCCAACCTGAGCGAATCTGCCTTCGCACCAATCGCACCAATCAGTTTTGGCTGGCGCGACAAAGCTTTCCATCAAAAAGTCAAACGATAGAAAAGGAATGCATGTTTGTTTTGTCTTGTTGTAATGTTTTTTAGGCTTATGAATTTCATTTCAAAGGCTACCAGAATCAAGAGAATCATGCTGGATTAGGTCGTAGCTTATTGCACCTGACTTTTTAACAGCGCAGCATATGCACGGTGGGATACTGAAGAGAAGAGATCCACGCCGTGTCTTGAGGGCGGGAATGTTATGTCCTTGACACATGGTTGAAACATGAAGATTGAAAGAGGCAAAAGAGGCAAACTGACCAGGAGTATGAGCATATGAGCAGTAGGAGAGAAGGGATGAGAAGGATCTCTGTTCCTCCAAGTGGCAAACTGACCATCAATGAAGACCTTCAGCAATTGGAGTTGGTCAATTCGAGTAAGCTCAGTCGTGATTCAGAGATGTGTGAGGAAAGGTCAAGGAATCATTCAAATTGACAGACAGAAGATGGAATTATTAAATATTAGATCAAAGACAATTAAAAAACAAGGGAACAATGGCCTGCGGGAGGATCAAGTCATTGTTCGTGCCACTTCTCAATTTTCCATCCTCGCTGAGCTTTGAGATAGCCTGCACCCGTCTGCCCGTCCCACACTTTGATCAAATTGATACCATGTTAGTCAGCGTCACACCTTGTTCTCAGACTCACCAGTTCCAGCTTGTCGAGCATCCCGGTTAAAATCAATGATCTTGTGATGGACCTGTAGATCTTGATCCAGGAACGATGCTCTGCGGTACATCAACATCATCGACACTCAAACATTCTAAGATACAGCAAGTGTACGACGTGCCAAAAAATACTCAGGTCATCACGCCCTTGATCTCCAGCAAGTCCTGCTCAAGCACAAGCCCAAAAAAATCCGAAAAGAACACATGAAAACAAAGCAGAAAAGCAGAACTCAGTACACCGAGATACAAAAAGCATCCCAAGATTCCAAAGGCAATCAGTGCAAAATAGGGAAATGTTGTGTTTCCTATCTAGATGACAAATCTTCTTGACGCATATTTGTACAAAAAACACAGCCTACACTGTGTGCACTCTGCGGATCGTAGATCTGTTTGTATCTGCTGATTCCTCTGCTGTTTGTGTCCCTACGCCGACTCCTTCGCTCTCTTTCCCGCATTGAACTCGGTGCGCTTGGCCCCCAGAGAAGTGACCAACACCACCACTTCTGCAGTGTACCTGTGATCACGTGTGCGGAGGAGCTACATCGGCCGTTCAATTGATACAAAGCATCATAGAAATGTCAATTATATAAGATGTATGTCATATGATATGTATCTGTGTATATCGTATTATAATGTGTATATATATATATACATATGATTGCAGCTCGAAAGACTGTATATGTGCAAAAGCACTAAGTTCAAGGGAACAAAAATGAACAAAATATCTCACCACCCAAAAATAATATGAGTATAATAAAGTCATATGGGTATAAAGAGAAAACTCGCCAAAGCACCTGGTTTCAGGCTGCACCCGCACAGGCCCAAACATGGCACAAGGACATCCCGCTTCGTCTAAAGTTGTGGAAGCAGAGCCAGTGTCTTGAAGCATGGGCTTTAAGGCAGATTCAAGGAGAGTGCAGCCAACGGTTGATACGTAAAATTAATTAATATGTTCGGGTTCGATGCAAAGTCGGGAACAAACGTATTTCAAATAAAGTCAGAGAAGACCCTGCTTATGCACCTCAATCATCAAGCGGCATTCCTTCATATGGTAGGGAATGTTTTTTTTGTCCGTGGAGAACGCGTTTGTGAAAAGTGTTCACTTTGAAGCTGTTGAACCAACGCAACATTGTAGAATTTGAAACATGTTTGCAGCACGTCGAGCTTGACACAGATTTTACCACCTCAGACTTGTGAAAGACTATGAAGAATGGCAAGATGTAGTATTGCAGTAATTGTAGTATGCCTCCTTGTCATTTGCACTTGCAGATACCGGTGTCTCAATCGTGCAAGCTCGGCCATTGCCTCCAGTTGGACCTTAGGAACAAAGGAGTGCGAACGCCGCACGTAGTTTGCGCATTGTGATGCATCGTTGGCATCGTGCATTGTGTATTTGAAGTTTTGCTGTCGCTGTGTACTCTGAAAAGACTCTGTTTGTGTGTGTGTTGGGTCAAACATTCATATTTAGAGAAATAGAGAGCAGAGATTCAAACATATTGAAAGTATTCGAGACTTTGTGAATCTTTTTGAACAGTCCTAAACCATCGGAAGAACGTCAAAAAGATTTACTGTAGAGAACATGAAAAGATTTTGTGGGTATCTCGGTATCTCTTCACCTCACAATCTGGGCTCAGGATGCTGAGGTTTCTGGATGGTCCCGGCCAGACTTCCCGACTCCACAGACTCCACAGACTCTACGGACACGAAGAGGACCGAACACCGAACAGCACCAAAAAGCTCGGAATTGCACTTTCGATACTTTTTCGATACTTTTTCGATACTTTTGAACCTTGGATGCTTTTGATACTTTCGGCATCTTTCGGTATCTTTGGGCTTTGGCCCAACTATCCGATCTATCCCCTCCCACCTGCAGACGGCTTTTCCTGCACTCGCCTGCGCTGAGCAAAACCCGTCCCCATGCGACTGCAAGTGAACTGCAAGTGAACTCTCCGAAGATCCGTTTTAGCGACTCACCTCTGTAGCTGGCTGAGTACATCACCATGCAGTTCACTATGCTTTTGACAGGGACTCTACTCTGGCTTAAAGAGTCTTAAAGGCAAACAAGAAGTCAATCTCCTTGACTTATGCAACCTATTCCGCCACTATGCCATCTATAAATCCCACACACTTCCAGGAGAACTTACGAGGAAGAAGCAAATCGTCAGCTTTTTGTCTAAAAATAGTTTTGCTCGTTCTGCTTGAAACATCTGGAAACATCTGGAAACCTTTGACCAACTTTTTCCCAGATCAATCATCAGACACCGTGACCTAGACCTCTCCGTAAAGCTGCCATACTGCTGGATAGCCTGATCAGGAGAGGACGCTGTGATCGCCAAATAGTCAAAAGCCAGGTCGCTACGTCTGGAAAACCTGGAAGAAACACCCGAAGCCTCCAAAGCCCGCAACCAAACGTCCAATCTGCTATGCCTGCTATGCCTGCTATGCCTGCTATGCCTGCTATGCTATCAAGATTTACCACAAAGTAGAAACAGAATAGCAGAGCAGGCTAAATTTCAGCTTCATTTCAAGCTACAACCATCTAACCGACTGACGGACTTCAGGCCCGCATTGCCTTATGCAAGAGCTTGTGTCCTTCGAAGCCATCCTCAAAACGAGCTAAGCCCCCTGAAAATGTAAAGCTTCAGCAACACACCAAGATTTCCACTTTTTTTGGAACAACAAAGAAGTTGAGAAATGTCAAGTTGAGGTATCCTTGTATTGATCTGCTGAGATGGCTGTATGTAGTTCAAGTTGTTTAGCACTGACAGTTCAACAGAGACTTTTTTTCTCACCTATCTGACCTATCTGGAACAAAATGTCTTGACAATTTTACATTAAAGTGCACCCAGAGCATCCATGTATCACATTGACGGCCAACGCCATGTTTGTGTAGTTCGAACTGAATAGCTTATTTGTTTCTCTCCAAACCTCTGCCAACTTGGATTCCGGCCATGAGAGAGGATTCATCGAAACGCGCTGCCCTCACAGGTTTGGCAGACATGGCAAGACGGCCCAAGACGGCCAGAGCAGGATAAATGTGGAAAAATCAAGCCAAATTTAGTGAGGTTGTGTTGATTGTGTTTGAAACTGTCTGTGTTACCGGGGTGATCGCTCCATGGAGCGCGTCAAGCACAACTGAAATGTCACAGGGATTCAAGGAACCCATGCTCAAAATTATCAGTGCTGAACTCGGTGATTCCTGGTGTTTGAGAATAAACTTTGCTAAAGGCAGCTTTTTCACCGCCATCTCAAGCTTGAGATGGCACACGGGCAGCAAGGGAAGAAGCCATCAAGAAAAACTGTTTCGCACTGAGTTTAGCCAGTTTAGCCTGTTCACAATGTTTCACACAATCCAAAGAGCCAAAGAGACACGACGCGGTTCCAATCCTTGAGTCAGAAACCGTGTGGTTTCAGAACCAGTCATTCAACAAACCCCAGTCTACGTACCTTTCATGCTTCAACCATTTTTTGTCTATGTTGAAGCAATCTTGGCCATGCCAAGCACTTTTGTGTGCTAGCAAGCCATATTGAGCACTGGCTTTCTGGCTATCAGCGGCTATCAACGTATCCAGAGCCACTGTGCTCCGAAGTACACAACCTAGACGACCTAGACGACCTAGACAGGCAGACCCCTCTGAAACTTGAATGGCGATTTACTCTCACCGAGCACCAAGTGATCAGAGGTGGTCTGCTCCAAAAATGTGATCTGTAGCAAGTGAATGCACACAAGCAAAATCGCAATTGTGCGCAAGTAAAGTTCTGTCTCATCGAGCGCAGATGGTGAGAACACTTTCACTGATCGCCAGGTTCTGGACGCAGGTCTCTACAAGCGTCAGAAGTCTCTGGCCACGCGGGTCATGCCGGTCCTGCCCCTTTCATTCATTCTTTATCATTCTTTATCATTCTTTCATACACTCATAGAGAAGAACTGGATAGTCTAGTGAATGCAAGTCTTGGCGGTTCACAACACCCAGCCTCCCACCATAGCACTCCACGAGACTGAATTGTGCAAAGATGTGCAAAGCTAAAGCTTTAAGCAGCTCAGCAGCAGCTCCTAAGCCGATCCTTTAGAGTTCCGAGTCCGCGTCAATAGTTGTAGCGCTAAGCGTGCTCGAACGCTGGACAAGCCATGGTCTTGATTCCATGGTGAGAGCTTGCCTGGCAAAAAAGACAGAAATAACACAAAATATAGAATACTCTGAAATGTTGTCCTATCAGAATCATGGTCTGCCTTTGCAGTTGAGGTAAAAATGTTAAAAAATGCCTTAACAATCCATCATGCCTGACGTTGTGCATAGGTGTTGCAATGCGGTTCAACGTGGCACAACGTGACCGTGCACCCTGACTGCATATGTTGCTTGCATGCGTTGTGTGTGTGTGTGTCCTACATGTCTCACCTTGATTTGCGCAGCCTGGGAGATCGCTTGGGCTTCTCCTAGGCGAGACAGAACAAAGAGAACACCGAAAAAAAAAAAAACAGGACGCCAAGAGACGCCAAACAGGAACACTTCTGAACTTTGACACATTTTACATATTTTTACATCCCATCACATCAACTTCACATCAACTTCGTCAGGAGAATGGCACCCGGCGGCACCCACCCAGAGTCGAAGTCCTCCAATAGCGATCCAGGGAGCCGCCTTTGGAATTCGAGACAAACATCTGGAAATAATTAAGAAAATATGTGTTTGATTGCAATGTTTGATTGCAAAATAATTCAAAATAGCATTGCCATGGCAAGTCTCAAGTGAACTGATTCAATCTAATTCATGATCTAATTCGAATCTAGTTCATGGTTCCTCCATGTTCCTCCCATCTCAGTTGTGCTTGGTCTCTTCTGTTCGACAAGTTGCAGGCATTGAGAGTAGTATTCGTTGCCCCAAACGCATGTGAGGCCCTCAACGCAGCAGTTGGATCCTCACAAGTCACACGTGAGTCACACGTGAGTCACACGTGAGTCACAAGGTTGCCATCGGATGCTGTCACGAGCCGTGTCCGACGAGCCGTACCAACCGTTTCTGTCCTATCTGTTCTGCAATCCAAGGGACCGTACCAACCGTTTCCACCGCACCTGTAGTTGAACGCCCGTCAGGGTTTAACATGAAATCAAAGAGTCTCAAAGCCCGTCCATCTAGCGCAACTATGCGCAACTGAGATACTGTTGCCAAATCTGCGCGCATGACACCACATTGGCGTCATCCATCACACATTGTGAATACGATGTATCCTGCACTCTCGAAGCAACGTGAAACAGCAAAACTGTTTCAGCGAGTCCTCCAACAAACCCAGAAAGAAAGGTCAACTATGGTCAACTACAAATTCTCACAGCCACAAACTCCAAGGTAGCGACTGGTACAGCGGGTAGCGGTAGCAACTGCACAGTGTGGCAGTCTTGCTCTCAAACAGACCGACAAAACAAAGAAAAACCGAAAACGGCTCGTCGCTCGTCACTGCGCGTCCTTGAGCTCACACTTCAGGCCGGAAACACAGCACGTGCTGCCCATGTAGCTTTCGCCGCCACACCTTTACTTGACAAAAAGATACAAAAGGTACAAAGAGGCAACAAATCCCGAATCAAGCCCTCAATTATGGTGACTCAGCAATTTTGGGATCTTGCAGATCTTATATTTCCGACCAATCATTCTCAAAATTCTCAGTGTGAATCTTTCGAATTTCACTAATCATTCTCAAACATGTCACAAAAGGTTCCAGCTGCATAAAGTCTGAGGCACTGGTCGTGAAGCTGACCACATGAACTCTTCGCTGGATGAGTAGTAGTGCCTCGCGTTGAGACACGACACGTCTTAGAAAGCTGTCTTAGAGTTTGTTTAAATGTTACAGGCATAAACTTCAGATATTATTATGTGATATCATTGATATCATAATATTTTATGACACCTGTTGGCTTCAACTCCAACTTCTTTACATATATATTAATATATATATATATACTTTCAACACTTTCAACCCTGAATCTGGTGAGAACTTACTCAAGCCCAAGCACCTGACCCGGTTCAAGAGTGCAGCCACCCCACAAAGAAACAAAAATATGTCACAATGTCGCAATCATTCGCAGTCTATCCCTCTTTCTTCTAAAAAATCCCAACTTTGTCAGACATGAGGTATTTGGATGTATTTGGATGTATTTGGCATCACTGGCGTCACTGGCACTGACCTCCTCCTAGATAGCGCAGGCAAACATAACCAACACCCTCAGAGCTTGCACCTGGGAAAGTCGGGATAGAATTTCATGGATCCCCATGATATCCATGATCCCCATGCCATGAATCTTTCTGGATTTTGAACAAAACAAAACTGTGAAATCTCTTTAAAAATCTGTTAAACAGGATAGAATGGATAGAAGAAACTTGAACAAATACACTAGCCAGAATCACCAGGTGCACTGGATCGACGAGAATCTACGATTTCGATCCCTTCGACTGCGAGCCAAGTGAATTGGATGCCACTGTGAGGTCTTCGATCTGTATCGATATGTGGTTTCCTATGGTTTCGAAATGTTTCGACTGGAGTCCAAGGCACCAATGCCCTCTGGTCGCATCCAGATTTCACATCTCCTGTTGATGTACTCAATGCCTTTGCATGCACTGTTGGCCATACAAAGCTGCTTGCACTCTTCTAGCGAGTTCACACCTCACAGCAAAGCAAGGGCATAGGAAGTACAAAGCCAAAAAGAACTCAGTGAAGCCTCAAATCCAGGATGTACAAATAAAGTTGGGACGAAAAGTGTGTCATTCCCAGATTCCCATTGGAAGAAACAACATCTTCAGCAAAATGAAATTCCAACTTCGGAATGCTCCAAAGCTTCTTTTCATCTCTCAGAGCCCGGGAACCTTCTGGGTCCCTGCCGAGTCCTCTCGGCACACATACTGTCAACGAGCTCAAGACAGCTCAAGGCTCATTGTGGCTTTTGGGAGTCATATATAGCTTATTTAACAAACAGAAAAAACAGAAGTTTCGCCCATATTAAGACTACACGCGACTACACTGAACTCCTTACAACCAAGTGGCTTGCAACAGTAAAGTACTCGAGAGCATTATCTGTTGGAGTGCTTCCGCGACAGACCCGGTCAACCCCTCCATCCACGGGCTCAAACATAGCTGTCTCAGTGGTCGAGGTCGTTGGAAGTGTCGTGATCGTCGCGGTTGTCGCTGCAGTGGTCTTGGTCGTGGTGGCAGGGGTTGTTGTGACACTGGCAGTAGAGCTGACGGTGGTTTCAACGATAGACTTCCACTTGCCATTGCAGGATGCCTCGCAATTGGATTTTGACTGGTCACAGTAGTCATTGCCCGGGCATCCAGTCTCAGCATCCCAGTAGCAACATCCTTCTGTGGATGCGGTCGTAGTTGTCGTAGTCGTAGACGGTGAAGCGGTTGAAGACACAGTTCCACAACCCACTGGAAGGCCATCCCAATTGGTACTCTCGCCACACATCTCTTTCTGAGCACCAAGGACAGGACAAACCATGTTCTCTGCCGTTGCCTCCCCAGCGCAGGAAGTCCCAGGGTTGCTTGGATCCCAAGCTGTGCATTCACAGAAGCCAAAGTTTCCAATGGTCGCAGTGAAAACGACGATGTTGGGGTTGCCACCATCTGAACCAAAGGTGCTAGCAGCACTCAAGCAACAGGCTTCTGAGTTCCACTTGTTATAGATGTCAGTCTTGGACTGATAATAAACCTCGCGAAGGTGTGCGAAGAGGGTTTGCTTTGAAACTGAGTGGCAAAGCATGGCAAAGCATGGCAAAGTAACAACCCCAATACAGCAATGCAAAAGTGTCACAGAACCTGAGATTTGCACCTTTGTACCAACAGGTACAACATAGTCCCAACAAACGCGACCCTCCTTCTCCTCTCGAGGAGTTCGTTGCAACTCCACTGGAGGATCTGTCCAAATACATTCGCCGGAGGCAGACCTCGAATTTAGAAATGTCACATTGGAAATTCGGTGTCGAAGAATCTCGAAGAATATCGAAGAATATCGAAGAATATCGAAGAATATCGAATGTGTCAAAGTAATCTTCAAACTATGGATGACTGCCAGATTACTGCAGGCATCTGCCAAGAAGCACTGTAGTTGTGGTAGTTGTTGCAGCCCCAGTTGTTGAGCTTCCTCCAACAATCTCTGTGTCCATGCAGGATACGAAGATCTCGTCAGTGTATTTGCAGACCTAAACATGACAGCGGTGACATCTGCACGCGAGCGGACAACAGACCTCTCTTAACATCATGTGCTTGATCCAGAAGGTTTACACCAAGATGTCTCAGGACTCTTAAGGAATTGGAAATCTTAAGTCTAGGAGTCTAGGACTGAGAGATTCTTAAGTCACACTTAGAGCCACTGCCATCCACATGACAACATTTGTTTCGGATTGTTTCGGGTTCCTTTACGATCTTTACGACTTGATCTTTCCATATCTTTCCAACAGTCCATCTGAGTCCATCTGAGTCCATCTGCCACGCAACCCAGAGCCATCTGATTGTAGCTGGTCCAGAAGGCATGTCAGCTGGTAGATTGACTGTCTGCGGGAAAGTCTGCCCTGGGCTCGCATGGTCAGCATGGTTAACCGTTTAACCTTTCGCGTTTTCTAGAAATGTCAAGCATGTTCAGCATGTTCAGCATGTTGGTAGACAAAACGGAAAGCTCGGGATTGGTGATAACGAGTTGGCGCAGGCCTGATTTCCAATGGTCCAGCCTTACTTGGACACGTGGATTGGCAATGAGAAAGCACACATGACGGACGACACTACGGTGGCAACAGTAGGACTCATTGCCTGAGATTTCCTGGCATTTCCTAACAGTCCTAACATCACACATCTTCACATTGTCTGAAGATTGGAAATCTGGTGGTGAAGAAAAACAAATCCAGGACGATTGCTTTCTACATCTTGCTACAAAGGCTGGCAGGATCTGGCAGGTGGCCATGCAGCTCTGAAACTGATTCGAAGCGTCCCAATATGCATGCACATCTGTCCATTCCGAGATTGGTCTGTCTCGGAAACATTTTTCCTTGGCACGCGGACACAGTATGTGTCAACATCTCTTTACATCTCTTTACAAGACGAAAATTTGAAGCGGTGAATGATGGTGTCATGGGATTCCAATGAATCTCGTTTTTGCCTCGAGACTGTCTGAGATTCTGAGTGAGGACAGTATTCAAAAATTGCCTCGCCATTGTGGTCAGCATCCAGCCTCACGTATTCAAAGACTTCGGTTCCATGGAAGCCCGCATTTGAAAGATTTTGGAATTATATATATATATATAAGTCTCCGGTTTTTTTGAACATAGCAAAAACATACAATCACAAACTCTGCAGAATCTCTGCAGACTGTCGATGATCTGTTTGGTGTTCATTCCCGTGCACATGCCCACCACACTAAAACATTGAAATTTGATCCTTTCATTTTTTCCCCTTTCATTTTGTGACGAACTCACACCTAGCCACCTTCCAGTTTTTGTCCCAGTCTCTTACACTCCAGGCATGTGGACATCTTAGGACAATTTTATTTTTCTTAAATTTCCTAAATCAACGTCTCACACACAAAGTCACACAAAGTTCAATAGTGTGTACACTATGATAACGATGCCAAAATGCACAATTCTCGTCTCCATAGTGCCACCAGCCGTGTAAGTTGGCTCTCCAGCTGCAGCGTATGATTGATAGCCTCAAACTGAAAGCACGGACGGTTGAAAGACAAGACCTAGGACCTAAACTAGTAGAGAGGAGAAAACTGAAACCAATAAAACCAACATATGCCTTTGCAAACACACAGATTGCTCTCGTGAGGGCTGCATAGTTTCCTGTTCTTCGTTTCACTGTTTGCCCCACAAACATGAGATGTTGACCTTTGTTGATCTTTGTGTCTGTTGTATTTTCCTTTGCAATTTTGCTGTTCTTCTCTGATTTCAAATTTCTAACCTCCGATCAGCCCTCGCTTAGTGTCAAACATGCACCCAATCTGCAAATGTATTCCCACTGCCAAAAAGGATAGGTAAACCACATTTTAAAATTTAAATGACGGAAATGATCATCATTCTGATGAACAGCTGATATCTTCCGACGTCAAGGCGCTGCTGTAGCGGTTTGTCGTGTATGGAGCATCACCTGTCGTGCAAGATTTGCAAGTAAAAAAAACAAGGCACCGGCACTTCAAACTGTTTTTTGCAATTTGTTCACATTTGCAATATGCAGCATATATATAATATAATTATATATATGTATATATACATATATATATATACATACATATGTGCATTTCACTTCTCGAGCCTGGTTGAGAGCTCAAACATGGAGACGACGGTTCAGCATCCCGGTGGACGGACCCAGATGGATTGGTTACCTTCGATCCAAGAATGCAACGAATGCAACGAATGCAACGAATGCAACGAATGCAGCAACAAGAAACGGAAAATGTTATTTAAAACACAAAAAAAACATATATATATATATAACATATTATATAAACGGAAATCGAAGGTGAATGCTTGCACATGACAGTTTCATGTGGCTAAACAACGAAGTGGCGAACGCATCAAGTTTGTGACATCTCGTGGACAAAACACCCACTACACAGTGGCGCACTGGCTGATGCTCACCCACGCACCACGGGCAATATTCTTGGCCTTGTTCTAGGGTGATTTCACTAAACAAAAACATCAATGTGGTTTGAAATGGCGATTGAAGTATGCTGTGTGTACCACACGTACGTACCATCACTCAACACGCTTCACTCAGCACTGGCCATTCCATTTCAAATATTTGAAACATCTCACATCAACTCACAAACGACTCACTAAGTTCGGAACCCGAAACCAATCTTGGCATCGGTTTGGTGAGAGCTCCGTGCCCAAAAACTCCAGGGAGGGCCCAAAGAACCTTCAACATCTTTGAACTACAATATCTACAATGATCTACAATGTATTTTTGAAGAACGTGAAACGTTTTGAAACATCCGCAATATTCCACACATCCAAAGCCACTGTTTCCCATTGTGATGAGGTCTGTACGACCAAGTATCCAAATCCAGTAGACCCAGTACACTTCATGCCTCCGCATGCGAGAACTGGGACATCAGTTTCAGTCACAAGTGGCCAATGCAATTGTTGTACCGTTTGGGCATGTTCCTGCCTGGAGGCACGTTTAAGTGGAACTCGAAATCACGACTTGATGGCTACAAATGCTCGGGAAATAGATGCATTGCAATGCAAAAAAATCATGAGTTGATCAACGCGATGGATTTGGCTACATGTCGGTCCCAAAACATCACAAACCGATCATTGGCCATAACTTACATATGCTCTGGTTTGGACGGCAAATATCATGATGCCGGATACCAACGTATTTTCCTGGTTCAAACTGTGGCAAATAGCCAAATCGTTCAGAGATCTACCGGGTTGCGCATTCGAATTCCCCATGCAATTCTTTCAGTCCAGATTCAGGGGCGCCGAACATTTGCAAATGGAATGTTTGGTGGTTTTGTCCACCCCTACTTTTTCTAAACCCCAACACCTAACACATGATATTTCCATCCAGTTTTTACAGCGAGTGATGCTTCCATTATTGACACCAAGCTGCCCAAAAAACTACTAACCATTGGCACATTTTTTTCTTTAACCCAACTTGGATAAACCAACAGTAATTTTCGGTCTTTTCCCAACGTCCTCTTCGCCCCGTCTTTTTCTCTCACCTTCATCCCCTGCTGCGACACAAACCACGTGGACGGAGCGAGAAAGAAAAGGAGAGAAAAGAAAAAGGGAAGACACAAAAAAAATATAGAGAGAAAACAACCAACCAAAATGGTGGACGAACTCAAGGGACCACAAAACCCCACACGGGGAGCCAGGGAAAGGGACAAACGGGGAAAACATTTCATGTCATGGTAGGATTGCAAGATTTTGACGGTTAATAGTGCCCGGACAGAATCAAACATGAAAAAACATGGCAACACAAACTAGCCTGTCCGGGGAAATAAACTGGGAAACTAATTGATCCTGTGACAAAACCGCATGGGTAGAAACAAAATCGAAACAAAATAAACTACAAGATGGAATCATCAGACGACAGCTGAAAACGCCGCAAATGCACTGGCAAGAAACCCCAAGCAGTGTTAAGGAGTGGGAACTCAATGTTTCAAATACAAGCAACAATAGCTACTTTGGAGGAATCTTGAACTTATGTTACTTAGCAAGAAAATTATAAAGAAGTTACCTAGATGCTATGTTAAGTCCATCGTAAGTTCATCGTAAGTTCATCATACGTTTTAGTATGTTTTTTAAAACGTTTTTGTTATTTCAGGTTTTTTTATGATTCCGAAGTTTTTTTTGAAGGATGTGTGAATATGATTGTATCTTTGGCTATAGTTGACCCACGCATGTCCCAGCATTTTTTCTCGAGCAGAGCGAGTGAAGTGGAATGGTTCTGCGAGACTGGGCAGCGCGGAAATTATCTAAGGAGCCAGACTCCGGATGCGTCTTCTCGAGTTAAGCGAGAAGGCTCTTGGCCTTTCAGCATGTGCAGCGGCATCAGGGCCAATTTGCCATCTTCTCTTTTCCACTTAGGAAAGCGATGGTCTGATGCACTATGCCAATGGAGTGGTTGCACCAGCAAAAAAAAAGACTGCGCAGAAGCAACGCAGCCATGCACTTCAACCGAAGTAGTTTGAGAGATGCGCAGGTAGGTGCCGCGCGCAAATTCAACACATCCGACCTCGAGGCCTGTTGCAAACAATGCCGACTTGGGCATGCCAACTCTGTGGGCTGTCTCTGGGTCTTCACGTAGAACACCGAGCACTTGGCCGTCCATCTTTCCTTTGGTTCAGGATTGGATAGTTCCATGTCAGTCAAGTGCAGCAGAACGCTCTTGGCGTAACCTTCCAATTTCGATATTTTGGGGCCAACATATCGTTTGAAGAGACGATGTTTTCGTTCACCCACGTAGCAATCAATGTGTCGTTGCCACCTTTGCATTTGCGCGGGGAGATGCAAAGCATACTGAGCTTTGGGTCTCGTGTGCGAAGCGCCGTACGCTTCTTGGAAGCATTTCATGTGGTGTTGCTGCAAAGGCATCAATTGAGTACCATGGGCCACGTCAATTTTGCAGCGTTGTAAGCAACAAACCACATCGCACAAAGCGCCGAGAGATGCGCACGCACTCGCCATTGGCTCGACATCAGCAAGGACTTCGATGCAAAATGCCCACAGAAGTGGCAACATCGTGCTGCACGCATTTGCGTCACCTCTGTAATCTTGGTCATATCTGAACAATTTCTCATTGACCGCCAGTGTCGGTGGCTGATAGCCATGCGCAGCACGCCAACCTATGTTGGTCCATTGCTGAAGCAACGACAATGAGTAGCCGCAATCTACAAATCGCGTGTGCCAGCAGCCAATCTCCTGACCCACCATACCTCCACTTTGATATTGATGCATTGCGTCCAGATACAAGCTGTCCATCCTAATCCAAGTTGACAGCGCCTCCGAGGCGAAGATGGATTTGCTGAGCGAATCCGCGTTCCATCCCAAAAGAGTTTCCACTTGGGCCAGCTCTTTTTTATTTGGCACGTAGCCAAACGTCTCTGCACAGCTGCCAAGCCGTCATCCGTTTGTGGCACAAAGTTCGACGAATATGCTTCGGATATATCATAATAACCCGGAGGGCAATCTCGACCTAACGAGAGCACATTGATGCAGTGACAACAACACTTCACTCCGGCTGAACCTTTGGCACCTGTTACGCTGCGGAGACCTTCGTGATCGTTCAGCAGCAGCACACGCTCAATGAAGAAGAGCTGCGCTCCATCATCAAAGCAAACAGTTATTCCATGCTCTGTTTCCTCTCGCACACTCTCGAGCACGTGGCACATGACCTCCGCGTAGGACGTCGCATGCGTGCTCAAATCGTCTGCTCGGACTGCTGACAATGGTACCCAGAGGCTGTCGACAAAGAGAACAGGTAGTTCCAAGAAGGAAGCGTACACCAGATTCGTTTTGCGCGGGTGCCTGGCGTGTAATACATTGCCTGGATTCGCCTCATCACTGAAGACGATGAGCGTGAGATGATTCTTTGCTCGTTTCATAGCTTCTTGCAGCAATGTAGAAAATAAGGGAGACCGCTGCACCTTCTCTGCCACCAGCATTGCCAAGGAATTAAAGTGAACCGTTAACCCCTTAGGTCCCGGCAATGTAACCGCTTGCAGCATCTTGTGCGCAATGGGAAATTTCACCTCCGGTGCGTGGCACGTAGCCTTTCCTCTGTCGTCGTCCCGCAGCCTGCTAATGACTTAGCCCGGGAATCTCACGCAGACATGCGAATTGCTCCGCCGGTGTCGCATCCACATGAAGCTTACGCTTCATTCCCATTGTACTTTCTATAGGGAACCCAGACAAGCCAAATGGCTGCGGAACCAAAAAACAAAGACTCCTATATATGACACCAAAACAAGTATCATGTGGACAAGGTCTAGAACTGCTGGTGCAAGCTTCCCTATATATACCATGGTATGGAATTTGACATTGATAGCCACGACACACCCCCCTTCCCGGAACCAAGTCTGGCATTCATTTTGGTCCGCTTGAGCGTGTGACCGGAAAGTCGAAATGCTGCAGCCCTTGTCAGCCGCGTGCGGATTTCCTATGATATGTCCCCATAGGACGAACGCAGCCATCCCGTTTGGCACGTAGCCAAAGCATTTTCATCTGTGTCACGCTGGCGCCTTGGCGCGTCTGCGCTTCGGTGCCGGCGCTTCTCCGTCACCACCTGGTGCCACAGCCTTTGCCTCAGCTTTGGCCTTCGGCTTTGGCTTGGGGAAGCTCTCGCGCAACGCCTTTTGGCCTTCTTGCCCTTGTTTCAGCAACACCTTTAGATCAGTGCCATCAAATGGCAGAGGAAGCAACTCCACGTGGGAATCGCCTTCCGGCTTATGCTTGTTTTGGTCCTGAAGATTCACAGCCGTACGACATGCCTTGCCCCATCTCTTTACCGTAGCCAAGCTATCCTGGCAAACCTTTAACGCAGCGCCATTAGCCTCAGGCAACGTCTCACCCTTGCCAATGATGGTTGGAGGAAGCTTTCTTCTTCTCTGCATTAGCGAGCTGTCGCACCTCTTTCTTGTCCGAAGACTCACCACTTGGGCCGTCCTCTGGCACATCCAGGTCCGCAGCCTTGGCGCCTCGTTTCTTCGTGGCTTGTCGCTCACGCTCCAAATCTTCTCAGTACTGTCTGAAAGACTTCAGCGCACGTTTGCTTCTTCACTGGCACCTGGAAAAGCTCGCAGCCATACTCCTCTGAGTCAAAAGATGGAAAGCGGCGAACCACGTGCTCGTGCCAGCCTCGTTGCAAGAGCACGCTCAACGGCAAGTCTTCCGTCTCCACGCTGCGTTCATGGCTTGTAATTTTGGTCTCCGTGAGCTTCTTGATCAAAGACGCCCGAATCGTCTGCCATCGCAAATTGCGTCCAGGAAGTTTGCTTTCCACCAAGCGTTTAAGTTTGAGGAAATCTGTGGCTTCTTCTGGGCTAAATTCTTGAAGATCAGACGATGACCCCAGGTGCCGACGAAGGGTGCGCTCCACGGACAAGCACTGCGAGCACCGAAAGGTCGTCCCATGTTGGCGACCACTCTCCGCTAGATATGCCTGCCAACCCACAGAACCCGCAACGGCTCGTGGCCGCAACATCTGCAGGCACCTCAGCAATGGCAAGTGAAGACGGGGACAGTCAGGTGTCGCAGAAGCGCGAGCCAAAATGCTGCAGAAACGAAACAGACATGGAACCAGATTTCAACAATTCCAGTGAGTACCCGCGGTCAAGCGGTGTTTTGATAGGATTTGCCTAGATTTCCTGTCCCCAGACATCCGCGGTCAAAGTGCCTGCCCATATGAGCCCGCCGCGGTCAAGATCACGGTCACCAGGGCGGCATATGCGCTTCGCGAGTCCGCGGTCAAGTCAAATCCATGGCTATTGATTGCCTCCAAGCGTCTGTGAACGTCGTGCGTTCACTGCCTTTCGTGTCGCCAGCGTCGCAGCATGCGTGTATTATGGAGGCAGCATCGCGACACCACCGCAGCTCTCGCTGCCGATTTTCTCGCATCGAGAAATGCCACGCACGTGTGCTCAGCACTTTCCGAGCTTCGATTCAGTCCTCTTGGAACCACTGGCCAGCGGTAAGCAGAAACTCCCATGGGTAGCCACGTGGGCAGTCCGTTGCCGTCACCAGACACAGACCGAAGACTTTCGGATGCGGTGGCAAATCCAACGCAGTAGCGTGCCATTCCCCAACCTGCAGCAATGCTGCCAAACGCGCCAGTACGCGTCTCCCCGGCCGTAGCCACGGCTCGCGCATCCGCGAGAATACTCAGCAGGGATCGTACCCCGCATGGCCTGAATCACCTCTTCCAAACCATCAGGCGACAGGGAGAAGGACGCGTCCCGGGACATGCAGGCGAGACGACCAAACAAACCTTATTTTTTTCCGTCCAACGCCTCATAGCTCTCGCCAGGTCGTTCATCATGCCTGTAAGCCAGTTGCATATTGACAAATTCGATTAATTAATGCAAAAACGTCATCCATCTTCACGATGGTGGACTTCAAAAGTTGAACTGCGGTAGGACTGACATGTGTCATCATTAGGAGACAAAACAACATCCAATAGAGCAGTGAAGTCGCCACCTGCACAAGATCACAGGAAACATACGTTGACACTCTCAAACTGCAACAACTCAATTCACACTGCCGTTCATACTATCTTGGTTTCACCAAAATAGTGAGTTCAAACTCGTTCGGTCAAAACAAAATAGGTCACTAATTCTGTTTGCTAAAAACTGATTCCAGAAACTTCACGTTGTCAATGAAAAACCAACCTACTTTGTTCAAAACTTGCAACCTGTACTCAAGGCATCGGAAAGTATCGATCCCGGCCAGTTTGGTCTCAAACAACATAAAACTAGGATTCCACGTTGTAATTCCTCAACTGCAACATCCAAATTCACAAGCTCGTAGATTGCTCGGAGGTCATGGTTGTAAAAACCATGATTTTTTTCTGTCCAACGCCTCTTGGCTTCCGCCAGGTCGTTTAACACGTTCAATTGCATGTTGCAAAAAAGTGAATTGACAAATTAATGCATTGACGTAGGCTATTCGTCGAAAGCCTCAAAAAGATGAGCTGGCGAGGACCGATACATAGTCCAAGGAACCGTCACAATCCAAAAGAAGCAAAGAAACCGCAAACAAACACCAAACAAAACACAAAACACAACCAAAACCCAAAAAACAACAAAACCAAAAACACACGAGAGAGAAAGTGATCGGCTGGCCAGTTAGCAACGTCAAATAGATGGTGAGGAGTGATAACATTGTATCATCCCTATATTGGGTATGGCGGTAAACCAAACAAAAGACCAGAGGAACATCACCAACATCGCCATACCAGGTTGTGAGTAAAGCAACACAGCGCTATGCGGAAACCAGGGCTCCCCCCAGCCAGGAGCCCCGAGATCACATAGAGCAAGCCGTACAGGCATGAAAACTCACAGGTCTGCAATCCAGTTACCAGCAACGCCTATGCCGTGTGGTACCTGGAAAGGTGAAACAACGCAGGGTGGAACAGAAAGTGAACCAGAACTAGGGTGAGAAGTGAGTAAGGGTGTCTATCGCGGCACTCACAGCCCTCTCAGAATCCTCTCAGTAGATCTTTTCCAAGCATCAGCATCATTGGAGAGCTAACAAGGTCCGAGGTCGACTAAATGAGTGCCTGCCTCATCAGTTGGCAAAGACTGCAGTGCTTCAAATCCTCACTTGGGAGTAATGTGCGGTTGCACTTCGTACATTGGCAACTATTCTGCTAGGGCCGTAAAGGGTAATGGGTTGTCAAGAAACTGCGGATTGCTTCCAAAGCTGTGTCCTATGCGATTGAGATAGCGATGGTCGCTAACTCGATAGCGTTAATGCCGGCTTGTAAACGCTGGGTTTGCCAGCATGGACGATCTCGTCAAGTAAAGTGGTCGGCAGAAGTTCTGGACGGGCAGCTCGTATCAGCTGTGTGGAGGTCTTCGGTAGGAACTGGCTGCACTCTTGTTTGCATAAACTGCAGCTGTTGCTCTATCACTGCCCGCTCCACTGTGTTCGCTCTGGCTTCAACTCGGATACGAAGGCTGTTCAGGCATTGGCAAGCTGTGCGCAGCGTTCGTAGATCATGTTCGCTGAAAATCCCTGCTAAAATTTCTGTGCTCTGCAAAGAAGCAGATGTTTGTTCGAGTATCTGTTGTGCACGGGAAACGTTACGAACATATTCTTGAAGAAGAAGGAGGTTGCATGCTTCACTGTGACCCGTTGGTGTTTGCGGCAGGTGTGTCAAATCATCCAGCTGGTCTGTCTCCATGCGCCTCAGAGTCGCATTTGGCAGGTCAAAATGCTGGTTTGAAGTCTAGGCAAACGGCAACGGGCTCCATGGCTTGATGTACTTTGACATCGTCCTATACTAGAAGCTACTAGTTTTGTTAGTACTAGTACCTCCCTACCTCTTACTCCCCACTCCCCTCACCCTTATGTCAGTTAGTGACCACCAACCCACCACATTACTCACAACAAATGCGAATGTTGGCTAGGGACATACTAACCAGCCATGGGTATCCCATGTTGGTCAGTTTTATCTAGTCAGGATGGCAAGTGGGGTATGGACACAGGCGGCATGTGTGACCGTCAGCCGTGGGAATCCTACGTTGGCGGCTAGTTCTTATTGGAATCTCGTTTGCGACTGTGCAAGGTGCGTCGTTGCAGTACGGCTGCTTTGGCTTTCTGATGAGCCAGTTGCGCACTCCGAAGGTGGCAAGTCGTCTCGTACATCAGGGTGGATCATTTGCGCGATGACCGGATGGGCATGTTTGTCTTGCATGATCTTCGTAATTTCTCGGATAAATGCATCGGGGTCATCCACTAACGCTTGGGCTTCTGCGAGCGGCTTATCAAGTACAATGGCAATGAGCATTTCTCCTCCATCTTTCTTGATGAGGGCCGTTTTGCCTTCTTGCATTCTGTTCAAGATTGCCACAGCTTTGTTTTCACATGTGCACCGTTCCCATTCTTCGATGGCCCTTTGTGCTAGCGATCCTGTTTGCGACGGGATAGTCTGGACTCCTGGGGTGCCTAGTGCCTTGAGGAAAGCACTGTCGGGCATCTCTGAAGTCGGTAGGGTGGCTACAGCTGATGCAACTCGGCGGAGGTCACTGTCTCTTACTTCATTCGAGCGCGACGTCTTCTGTGTAATATCTGGTTCGGAGTCCGCCCACATTCGGTTCAAAGTGAAGCCTGCTTTTGGTTCCATGTACCATTTGTTCCAGACTGCTTTATGCGCCCATTGGGGTGCCTTGCGGTTTTTTTTCCCTCTGGTATGGCCGATTACGCTCTAAGGCTCGGTCCTTACATGTGAAGAAGCAGTTTGAAATAAAATCTACATTGACACCTGTGGTCATGTAGCATGGCAAATCAAAAACAAAACAAATTGGGGTGCCTTGCGGTTGATTTCAACTAGATCCCTTTTCATGTCATATTCGCTAAGCAGATCATCTAGTTCTTGCAAGGTTGTGTCGCGGTGAACGCATCGCTGCCTAACAGCTCCATCGATGTGCAAGGGCCATCCTACTGGCATATGTGATTCTTCAAGAAGTCCATCTCCATTTTGCTCAATTACCGTGCCCAGCATTGGTATGTCAATCGAGGTCTTGAGGCTGACGCGCGGTCGGTTGCAGTGCCATGTTTCAGCATATAGTAATCCTCGCTTTGCGAGTTCTGTCAAGGCTGGGAAATCAGCCTGGTCTCGGAGGGGCAGTGCTTCCTCTTTAATCATTAGCCCTAGGCCGTGCATGGGTTCGGGTGGTCCCTGCGCTGAGCCTGGTGATGGTCCCCTGGTGGCTGCTGTGTCCTCGAACCAGGTGGGACGAATAGATTTGACCCCAATGGTTGTAAAAACCATGACATCCCAAATTCACAATTCTCCAAAACATGCAAATGTTCCGATCAAAACGGATCATCACGGTTTATCAACCCTGATGTCACGGATTCACGAAATCACAAAATTGCCAAGTCCTATGAGCTGTCACGATGCCAACAGAAAAAACGCAACAAGACAAACACACAAAACAGAAACCAACCAAAGCAAAAACAAACACAAAACAAACAAACACAGCTCAGTTGTTAGTGTTATGCAACCGCACAGCTGTGCACAACCAGCTCCTCCAGCACGGTTTTCAAACAGCATGGCACGGTAGGCTACGAATCACTACCACCTCCTCTGCAGCAGGTGCAACTCCCCGTATAGCAGTAATTGTACAAACAGGGTGTGGCTTCAGTGGTGGGCGACGAGAGGCCTCCTTGGATGACAGAGAGGATTGCTATGGGAGAGCGATAGTGGCGCTAACAAGGGCTATTCAGCATACATATTGTTTCTCCGCTTGACATGGCGGGGATGATAGGGATGGCTCAGACCTGGCGGTGTACCACTACGGATATCATACCCTGAAGGCTAGACAGATACAGTTTTATGGACCTGCGCTCGTCCCATCTGACACAGCTGCAGTCTTGGACTGGGGACTTGATACTCCATTTACATCGCTAGACAAGCCCCCCCTTGCTGTTACCATGATTGTAACAGTGAATGGGGAGCGCTCTCTACGAAGATACCGCCTAGTGATTGCACAGAAGAAGGTTGCGACTCACCCCTGAAGTCATAGCTGCACTTGCATCCCAAAGTCGAGACCACCGCCTCACAGCCAGCGGGTTTCTTCCCCTGTTCCATCGATAGGGAGTACCTGTAATAGATATGCTGCTGATGGATATCGCTCGCCACTTTGGTTGTGCGCTTCCCACAACGGGAACCCGGTCCTAGTTCATCGCAACGAGGCACCAAGGTCTTCTTCCATCAAGCTCTCCAGACAGGAAGCTTCTTGCAATTCCGGGCATTCACTACTTCGACGCTCACCGGTTACGAGCTCATCTGCTACAGGCTCCGGACCTCCAACTTCATCCTCGCACCAGCAATGTTACAGGACGCGAAGGCCAGACAACCTCGGCGCACTTCCGGCCTTGGCTACAGTTATGATGCAAAGTTTTCTGCTATTTCTATAAAAGTTGAAAATATTTATTTTAGGAAAAAAATAGGAATCAAAAATAGGAAAAAAATAGGACGTAAAAACACACTTGACACAGGACTACAAAGCACTTCCCAATATATTTGTTTTCCTATTTTTTCCTATGTTTTTCCTATTTGCATTTTTGGGCCCTGTTTTTTCCTATTTTTGAATCCTATTTTCCTAATTTTTCCTATTTCTGAACATCTGCTTCCAGCACCA